ATATATGATAAGGTTCTTGTTAGGTAGAAGGTATTGAAGTAAAACGCCTCGAATTGAAGGCGTAGAGCATGTTATAGCCAAGAAGTATATATTAGTCACTCGAAAGATATAATGTGTGTTTGCTATATATAACCTGAATCCTTGCAGCAGCAACGTGCACGTGAGCAAATTCAATTTCGAAAATCACTTTTTTTGTCAAATTGAGCAAACAGTTGCTATTTGTGAAGTTGCCGTTTCATTGAGTTTAAGGCAGCACTAACTTAAGCTAAAGTTATAAGTAATGTTTATGAATGGAGATTATACAGATGGCTGCATAAAAGTGTTGTTTCGGCTGATCTTATAAGCACTGGTTTCAGTGACCCAGGAGATGAGTCAATCTGTCCTTGTTGTGTGTACCACGTCTTCTACCACTGTAAACTTCCCTCCCTAATCGTAAATTGCGTTGTAATCTATCTCACCCGTCTACGTTGGGCTTCGATTTCTCTTTGCTTGAAGCGTAGGTCGTCGCATAGAATGTCTAATCGTTTTTTACAATTGTTTGCGCAAAAGTTAGCGTTCTTCGACTTGAGGACGCTGAGCTCCCTTTGCAACGACAGTTTCTCAGTGGACCTTTTCCGTAACTCTGTAAGCAAATTTTTCATTTGCTGATTCATGTCAGTGCGGCCTGATAACACTTGGAGGCTAAAATATGAGATACAGGCAATTTAGTTAGTACTGCATATTTTCACAAGGCAACCAATTGCTCCGTATTCTGCTTCTTATCGACTCTCAGCTTACTCTATTTTAGTATTAGAATTGTCACTATTTGTGTTCTTTATTTTACTAGTATACAATGCACAGTTTGTAGCTGCAAAGAGCCGTGTATTTCTCATAAAGTGCTGACAGATCGACGTACAAATATGCATTGTAGCCTATAAATTCTAAATTTCGATGGACGTCGTATGCATTATGTTTAGTTTCATCCCAGCAGGGCTTTTCGAACCCTATATTTAGTAACACACACGGAAACCCATATTTTCAAATGGAAAGTGCTACGAAGTTATCCATAAATTATAGTTAGTTATTATAAATAAAAATCAACTCACTTTGCTGTAGGCAAAGCGAGTACTTTCGCTTGAGCTGTTGCTTGAGTTGAACGAGAAGGCGCCACTTGGGTACCCATTAGCGTTGCCTGTGTATTGAACGCTTCCCCACCGCAAAGCCTATTGCCCTTTGAAAAGAGAACGAATCGATCGCAAATACGTTTATAAAAGATGATTGTTTATCTATGCTAATTTCCTTTCCAGAAGTGTCAGCATGGCGCCAATATTCGATACCTAGCCGGTATAACGCCAAGCATGGCCTAGGTTTTTTAAGTTAATTAGATAATTTTTATTTGCTGCATTATTAACGATTTACTAAATAAAATGAATTGAACTATGAAATTAATATTAGATTTTATATAGTTATTGGCACAACATTGGATACATATCGAAAATCTGATAAATCCCAACCTTGCTTGAGCGTCTTTACGAAGCTCGATTTTTTAAATTGACAAAATGGATTTCTGCTTATTGTAAGCTAGAAAATTAAGTAGGCAGTAAGTCTTGGCGTTTTTCCCGTACTGTTTGCGTTAAGACACAGTGCAACCTTTATTTGAACCTTTGATTAAGGCCCCAAAGATGGATATTTTAGGTGAAGAAACACTTAGCATTTAGCAAGATCAAACGCCGTCCGAAGTTGAAGAGCTGGAAAGATTTGCATTGTGTACAAAAAGGAGTTCGTGTCAAAGGGAACTGCCAAATATTAGTTTATAAAATGTTCACTATGGTTGTTTAAGCGTGGAGGATCCACTTTGGTGTAGACGAGTTTAACGGGAATCATCTCAAGATACTGAGGGTCATCAACCGAGTAGCGAATTTGCTCGACGGATAGACTGCGAGAGGAAAATTGCGGTAACTTACAACTAACAGGATATACATAAAAAAAGACTATGTGGGATACTTTGCGCATTGGCTGAATGCAACAATAAGAGTTGGGTTATCGTTATGCCATAATCTCTCGTTCAGCTCCTTTTACCATGGAGGTTAATTAGATTGGTTAAGCAGTAGAAAAAGGTCCGAACAATGATGCCCAATGTATATATATAATGATCATTTAAAATATACTCGAGTAAAGTGCTAGTAACGATGTGTCTTCCCTTTAGTGAAATAAAAACGTGCCCATATAAATAGAATCTACCAAATAAAGATGGTTACATTGAATATCTGTATTTCCACATATCTTCTCTGTTTTGCACTATATTGATATTTCGCCTCGAAGCGTCTACCGTTTTTTCTTATTTTGCCTAACTGACGTGTATGGTCATTCTTTTTAACTTCAAATCATATTATTATTAGATTAGATTACAAATTAGAATCAAAATTTATCATATTGGGAGTTTGGATACGATTTCGCAGTTCTTACCTGCTTTTGTTGACTTAGTAATGTGGCCTGAGATGAAACCGGATGAAGCAGCTGTTGAGTTAATCTTTGTGTTTGGATTGCTTCGTCTTGCTCGATGGCGTGCGACCAAATTTCGTCATCAGAATCATCCGAGTCGTTGAGTCTGGGCCGTTTTGCGGCGCTGTCTGCGTCAAGATCGCTCATTCTGTGTTTTATCTCAGTGTTGTGTATTGACAGTGTCTGTACTTTGAACAACGTATAATCAGATGGGCATTGAACAATCACAGTGTCGGCTATCATTGGAAGAGGAAACGGGGTTAAAAACAAACAAATTTGCGATTAAAACCCGATTTTTTATAATCTGCACTAAATTGAGGTCATAGCAATCCACCTCGTCGAAAAAGATATGCTACTAAAAGTATGGATCATACGCGCACATCTGTAAAATACATATAGACATATATATGAACTCGTTCAGCAGTTTATTAAAATTGATGCTGTTACTAACTAAAACATCTATTATGACAAAAATGCAATTGTTTATGTAAAAATTGAATCTAAAAAAATAGGCCTGCCAGTTTACTGTCTACCTTTACGTATACTATTTAAAAAATTAAAATATGACATTAAAAATAATACGTATGAGTAATTAAATGCTACCTTTATTTTGGAAATTATTGAAGTGTTATTTCAATGAAATAACCTATAGGAAGAATGTTTTGTCTGGTTTCTAACAGTTTGCAGAGAGTTGCTTCAAAGTGTGACGTTTACAAAGGCAACCTTCAATACAATTTACTTTCACTCCTGGTTCTGTAAATACGTATCCAAAAAAACACATTTGTTTAACGTTAAAAGGGACAAAGGTACAAACCGCTGAAAAAAATATTTTCGGTAACGTCGAACTTTCACTAAGACACATGCTTCTGCGCTGCTTTCTGTTATTTTTAGTTGTAAAATAGATGCGACTATTTAAATATGTATTTACCAAAAAAATAATGATAGTAAATTGCGCAGGGGATTAACTTGGAAATATTTTCCTCGGGCGACCTTTGCCCAAAAGTGCCTTACAACTTTCAGCTCTCGAGTCCGAGAAGTGCAAGTTCGGCCCCGGAGCCACGCAACTTTTATGCATCTTTTCTGCTTCGTCTCATTACCTTCTTACTATAGAGACGCCAGCTTACGTTTAACGCCGCCTAGATCTCTGAACATCCTAAAGGCTTTATCAGATCAGAAATGTAAAAAAATTGGCAACTTCAGCATAAAGCCTACACATATTTTTCCAATAATAACGATACCACCACTCACTATTAATAACTTGTGTGTTACGAAATAGCAAGTCAAATTTTCATTTCCACAAAACATTTCTCACATATCGATGCAAACACAAGCAGCAACAACGAAAAAAAAAACACAATTCCACAGTGACGAAGACCCTTCCTAGCTAAACTCTAAACTCTGAAGTTTCCGCTCTGCTTGGATCAAACTATCAACCTATCTACTTACCGACTACCTGGGTTTTTTCCATCGAATTTGTTTGTCAACAGATTATTTATATTTGCCGCCCACCCTGGTCGAAGCAGCGCGACTTGCAGATAGGCATATGTCGTCGTTCCGAGCATTACTGGAGCGCCAAGTCATCGGACAATACCGCAACAGCGGCAAATCATAGACAGCGAAGATCCGAGATAACTAGTAGTCTGTCTACGCTATCAGCTGCAGCAGCAGCAGCAGCACCACCACACAAAATTACAACAACAACTCGTTTCATCTCGGTGGCGAGTGGTTTCGATTTTGGCGATGTAAACACAGTGGCAGTTTATTTGTACGTGATTTGAAACGGCGGTGTAGTAGTGAAGTGCGAATTGGCCGACGGAGTGGAGTGTGGCCGTACCGTACCGTTGCCCCTGTTCGCAGTGCAGTGGGTCCGTCGGTTGGGACGCGGAGGTTGGCGGTGTGCTGGCCGTGAGGATGTGATGCACGTCCGACTCGCCCAGCCGCCGCAATGTGCGAGGCGACGGCAAACCAAGCAGCCCCGCCGGCACAACAACATCAACAACAGTCACAACAACAGCCAACAGCATCAGTACAACCCCCACCTGAACAGCAGTTTTCGACAGCAGCGCATGCGGCGACAGCCGCGGGATCGGCCCCGTCAGGCTCGCAGGTCGGCTTACCTGGACCCTCCAGGCTGTCCGGACTTCTGGGCTCGACGAGCGAACGGCCCCCGCGCGAAGAGCTGACCCCCCGCGAAATAGCACTACTGGCACGAGTCGACAGCCTTCTGTTTGGGGTTGTCAGAATGCAGCTGCCAGAAAACCAGGAAAAAAAGGCTCTTCTAGAGAAGGGTGTCCGCGCCCTCGAACAGGTCATCATCGATGTGCGCAAAGGCAAGGCCCGCCGAAAACGGAAACGGCGATATGAGCATGATGCTGATGATGAGATACTGTCGTCGACAACGGCGGCGGCTGCAGCGACTAGTACTAGCCTAACTACGAACGATGGAACTAATGGAACCATTAATAATACTTCTAGTACCACTAGTGCAACAATGACGACTACCGCTGCTAGTACCATCTCAACAACTGCAAACGAATTTAACGCGGCGGCGCCATCGGCAAAACGAACTGTGCCCCCAGGACGGACGGGTGTCAACGACGCCGAAGTGAACTCTTCGACTGATGATAGAACTTCTGTTAAAGACGATCCCGCAGTGCTTGGAGTGAAGGAAGAGCCTATGGATATTGATGTGGATGAGAGTATACCTCGAGTGAACGGCCACGATGTCGCTGAAGCTGGACATAGCGATGCCATTAATGAGGGTCAGCGTCAAGCGGATGAAGAGGTAGCGCAGCTGACCGAGATTCGTGCCAATGGTAGCTGTTCACCGGAGACCGCAGGCGACAGTAATATTACTAACGACGCGACTGCCGATTGTAGAAATCGAAGCGGGTGTCCAGGACCGTCGGGACGAGATGGGGTAACTGACCAGTCGGAGCCGCGACCTGAACTTGCTGATGAATGTGAGGACGAATACCTAACCGAAATACCGGTCGAGCTGTGGGCCAAGTTAGGCCATTTGAATCTGCTGCTGGAAGACTACGAGAAGGCATTATCAGCCTACCAGCAATACTTTCAACGGCGAGAGGATTCATGGAATAACATAGCATTCATGTATGGCTTGGCAATGGTCTACTACCATTATTCGCAGTTTGAATGGGCTATCCGGGCGTTTCGTGAAATTCTCTATCTTGAGCCGGCATTCTGTCGCGCCGCAGAGGTGCATGCCCGTCTTGGCCTTATGTACAAAGTTCGCGGTGACTTTGCTGAGGCTCAGCGTTGTTTTGAACACGTCGCTAGAGCGATTCAGAGCAGTGAGAAATTGTCGATATCATTATTTGAGCTTCAGTTCCATCAGGCCCACCTGTGCGAAGTGCAAGGAAAGTTACGTCAGGCTAAGGAGCAGTACGAGGCCCTGCTGGAAAATCCAGCATTGCCGAGGAGCGTGAAGGCCGAGGTATTACGCCAACTCGGTTGGATGTATCATTCACAACCGATGGATGCTCTCGGACCACTACGAGGTATCGGGCTGCCGCCTCTGCCTTCGTTGCCGTTGCCGCCGCACCAGCAGCGACAGACGCTCGCGATTCAGTGCCTTCAGAAGAGCATCGAGTGCGACCCGACGAGCGGACAAAGTTTGTACTTCCTCGGGCGGTGCTTTGCTGCCGCAGGAAAAGTGCACGACGCGTTCATCTCGTACCGAAGTTCGGTTGACAAGGCGGAAGCTAACGCCGACACATGGTGTAGTATTGGCGTGCTCTACCAACAACAGTCACAGCCAATGGACGCGTTACAGGCGTACATCTGCGCCGTCCAGTTGGACAAGCTACACTCGCCCGCTTGGCTCAATCTTGGCGTACTCTACGAAGCTGTTAAACAGCCTGCCGACGCGCTTAAATGTTACGCCAACGCGTTGCAGGGCTCACTATTCAGCCCTGACTCAAATCTCAACACCTGTCAGATACCCTAAAACGTCAGGGAACGCCAGCTTTCATAAAAGAAGTTGTAGACAGGCGGTCAGAACGTGAGAGTGGCAGTTCATGCTGCATTCGGGATTGCGGACAACTACTCGTACTCGGGAAAAAGGCTCATCATTGACAAATGAAGAATTGTAGACAGATCTCGGGGCGGTAACCGAGGATATGCTGAGGCCGTTGTCGCTTTTTATTACAACAAATAGATGCAACAATTACAACAACAGCAACAACAAATTAGACAAACGAAAGGGGAGAAAGGATGTTTCTTAGTGAAAAAAAAAAATGAAGAACGACAATTACAAAGCCACGAATTTTTGAGATCACAAAACACTCATTTTGCACGAATGAATGCGTGCGAAAACTGAAAATTTCACACCGTCACAACATTCGAAGACGTACTAGTTAGATCGGCAATATCAAAAATAAGTCTTATAAGGCCTACGAAGTGGTCACTTGTTCTTTAGAGTTGAACGAAACTGGTTAGCGATTATAACAATAGTGAACAAATACCTCACACCCACATTCGTGCAAACATAGCCATATGAACCTATTTAGAGAGACACACGTGACGAAAGAAATTCAAAAACAATGTAATATCCATAGCAACGTAACATCTACTTATATCTAGACCTAAATAGCTTGCAGGCCTTCACCGACATAGGAATAACATTGTGAGTGGACCACTTCTCCATTTTGTGTAAAGGCTGTTCATAATGTTACGCTTATTTGAGGAGAAAATACGATTGTTCAGTGGAAATTATGGTGAAAGTCTACGAAAATTTATAACACACATATACACGTCACAAATTGACATTCACAAAGATACACATATATATACATACACACCCTCACGCAAACAGACACATACACAGATTATTTCATAAACAGAGAAATACAAAAAAATGCGATGAGGATGACGTCAAACAAAGAATGAAGACGTTATACAGATTGTACGAATGAGCTTTCCCTTCCTGTAATGTTATGGTGTGGTGGAAACAGTCGCCAGCCTATGGAGTTCATACAGATGACGATTGTTGCCCATGGAGGAGCGAAAGTTGAGAGTAAAATATATAGAAAAAGAATTATTGAAAAAGAAATTAACTATCTAAGGAGAAGACGAGAAATATAATGTCGAGGAAGAAAAATGAAAAGCATATTGTACATAAACACGCGACAGGCCCGCCATGACGTCGCCGAAGTCGAGGTCGTGGTGTGGTTCACATTTGTAAATGACCTCTAGTAAAAATCTTAATCATCGTCAACGTACAGGCGTTTTCTATTCTATTTATTAGTTTTCTGTTAGGAAATATGTTTGCATTTACGTGTATGATGGATATCAGTAAGTAAAAGTCCTTGACGATAATTATTATTTTAACAGATGTCATAGTGGAATTTAGTACGAAAAGATAATACTAAGAGAACAATAGAATTTAAAGATCTGTCATACAAGCTGTACAATTGACACCTGTGAAGAATATTTTTTAAAAGCCTTAGAATGTTCAACTGATAGTTAATAAATACATATGGGGATCAAAGATAGGTCTATCAAACAAATGATACTAAAGAGAATATGATAAATATAGACGTAATCTTTAAAGCTGTGAAGGATAAGTAAGCAACGTGCGTCATGTTAAATACGTGTGTACCGGTAGCTAAATGTGCTACGGGCATTTGCGATGCACGCCGGCTTCAGTACTAACGTCAGTAACCAACAAACTTATTAGACCAGTATTTGGTTCAAGCGGACCAATTGAAAGTTGATATCGCTCATATTCGGGAAGAGCGCGTCCATTTTTGCTTCCGAAGGTCAATTAATTCCGCGTTCGCAAGGGTGTTGGATCGTGACTTCGCTTACCAAATCCAAATTCATTGTTTACCCAGTTTTTTTTTTGCAATTTGTTATTAGCAAACCAAAGTTCATTCATTTTGTAATCCATTGTCCATATGTATATCTATATCTATAGGTATGTACGTTAAGCTCGTCGTGTATGCAAAATGATAATTGGTTCCCTTATAATAATACGTTTTCTCGAAAACTCGATCGAGCGGTAAGAGATTCAAAAGCCTTTATGCTCTAGCAAATGCTCTAGATGTATAAAGACGTAATTCTGAGACACGAGATCTTGATTATCAAGTATTAAATTCCGGTTATCCCGTATTCCCTATTCGAATTTTGAAATCCAAGTTTTCATCAAATCTACTATTTTTCCTACTCAGTTGTTTTTCTTTAGTCTAACCTCTTAGTATTACACATATGCGTAATACATTTGCGCTACTATTAGGGATTATTTTTACAAATGCTAATACAGCGGTGTAGTTAGAAGAAGATCGTATCGGCGTCCATAAGTGCATTTGAGTTAACTGAGTCACCCAAAAAGTTTGTGGGCCTTTTTATATTTTTAATAGTTTTTTCAACTTTGTCACCACAATTTTTAAAGACGTTACAATAAGTGTAAAAAATTTCCGCTTTAAATTATACTGCCGAATGACTCAGATGTCTATTGGAAAAAATGATCGCGTCTCGACCATATTCCCAACGTTGAATGATGCGTTTAGCAGTCGCGATGATGCGTTAATCATTAATTAAACAAAAAGATTGTATTTAGCTTGCGATTGATTAGGTCAAGGTTAGTAAAGAAAATATTGGAATGGGTTGGTAGCCAGGCTTGGCAATATTTAAATCTGTCATGCCCTTGACTAACTATATTATTATATTATACTAATTATATTATACAAAAAACGAGCACTGTCTTTCTTTCATATACCTCTGTCTTGAAGATTACATTATTCAAGGCCGAAACAATTTGGACAACTGCAATTGAATTAAGCGTCGTCTTTCTTTAATAATATTTTCTACTTCCCACTTTTCTTGATATGATTTTTCTTACTCAACACTGGGACAACCAATAAATAACCTACACAATTGCAATATAGCGAAAAGGCTCAACACAAAAAACACGTTATATTTTTTAATTTATAACTGTTCCAGGCATACTCAGATAGAAAGATATTGGTTCGTAGTTTCTGCTTTTGGTGCCCGACTTTAGTGGCCATAAATTTCGCCTGTGAATTCTACTCAAATCTGTTTCACGTAAAGCGACTGTCAACCCCTGGCAGCCGACCCAAGCATAACCCAAGTAACCAAGCATATATAATCGAGATTAAAAAAAAATCTATTAAGTATTTTAGTTAGAAATCACAAGTATAATCAAAACAAGCTTTTCATTTTGTCTTTTTTTTTTTTACTTTTGCCGCCAATCCTTTGCAAGACACATTAAAGAAAGACATGGATACATCCATGTGGTTCACAATATACACAAATGCTTATTTGACAGTGTTTATTTATCGGTATACGTTGTAAGCACGCTGTTACGTACCAGTTAAGATCTTGTTATCCGCTTCCTTGCACTAAAGTTCATGAGATATTATCTCTATGAATCGCTTTTCGTGCAACTGTCTGAATCGAAATGAAGATCAATTTTTTCAATGATATATGGGAAAAAAAGTAATTCTGGCAAAACGTATCATGTTCTATTACCGATGGGAACAGTAGCATATCTCGTGTAATAAATCCAGTGTATGAAAAAAAAGACATGGATTTATGTTGAGTTTTGAATCTGCCTAAACGACAAAGCAGCTAATACAAGATAACACAGTAAGTACAAGCACCTTGCGGAGGCTTGGTGAACTTTCTACCTACTCATATATAAGAATGCTTATCTTTTTTCGTTCGTGGCCCCGAACGGTCAGCCAAGAAAAACTAAAGCAGCTCAACTTAGCAGCTGGTTGCATGCTCCACGCAGTTCAACCGTCAAATCAAATATGATTTTTGGCACTTTATGCGGTAAATACACATAACTTCGAGCTACTTTAGCTGCCTGGGCTTCCTGAAGTGTCCGCTGTAACAAAAGCGGTTGAGCTGCCCGAGCATGTTAGTACTGCCTGTAATATGCTATATTTTATGAGAGAAACATTTAATTAGTTTTTAGTTGTTTCACTTACAAACGAACAAAAGTAAACTGATTCATTTCTTACTTTACTCCCAACCCAAACCCACTACATAAACACGAGTATAACAATTTTTAGATTGAAACCTTGAACGGGGAGAATCTTGCACATTACGAATCAACGCATGTTCTATCGAGAAACTGCACAAGCACGAGAATCGGCCAGCGTGAGACCAACAAGTCAAGGTTAACTTGTGTGAACTTTGCGAAGATCTGGTTCGATCACCGTTAGTCTTCAGCCCGGTAGCAGGATTGCTGCGCTAGACAGCAACAAAACGCCATTGAGACAGGCATGGTACTTATCTGCAGTATTCTTAAACCTAGAAGTTTTCCTCTCCCAAACACTGGCTGATTGAGAAGACGTCTCGCTACAGGATTAAGAGGCGCCCTGTAGCAACAAACCGCATGTCCGAGACAGTCGCGGCCAGTCGCATAACAAAGGCAGCGATTGAAGACGTCGAAACGACTCAGGATCGCTTAAAAAAACGACTATTGTGTAAAGAAATGCAAAGGAAACGACCCGAACTTTAACTCTGCTACTACCACCTTCCGCGTTTACGGATATCGATGCCATCCTACTTACTGAAATTTGAAAGTGAAAGTCCTTACAGCTGCCTAGTTTTCACGGTGTTTACTTACTCGGGCGCTTTTGCGTCAAGCAAGTCCGCCCTAGTTGCAAAGTATTAGCGCTTTACAACTCAAAACGAGGAAAGGGTCAGTGTGGCACTTGTCAAAGATGATATAATAATTCCAAGGAGCAGTCGATGTGGTATTATAGCAGCATACGTGCTGTCTCCGAACAGCGAAAATATAACGAAATGGTTGGACAGAACCACCCGTGTTATTTCTGGCAAATCGCAAACGAAGATCGACAAATTGAGCGACCCTTGCATGCGCACGCACCTTATTTAATCAGTTTCGGGTGCCGTATATTCTTCAATATGAACACACGTATGTTTACGGGTTAAATAGGAAGAATGATCGTCGATATATTCGCGTCAAACATTAGAACGGAAAGAGTTTAGTCCATAAAAAGAAACAATCCACTAAAAGACGGGATCATTTGGAGGTAGCTTATACCGGTCGAAGTGGAACTGTTTCTCCAGCGAAGAAAAACCTCGTAGAAAGAAAATGCCAACCGAATCCAACCAAACTCGGCCCTGAGCTGAAAACCTTGCTTCCGATTTTGCACCACCTAAACACAGACACTTTCATCGAGATTTTGATTAAAGTGCTGAAATTATCTGTAACCTATTCGAAGTTGTACAGCAACGACCGTGGTTTGACTCGATTTGCAGTCTCTCTTCTGGTGCACCGCGCAAGACAGACTCGTTGACCAAACGTCACTCGCATATGCGGCCGCTCTGTAACTTCCTAAAGAAGTTGATATAGGTGATTACTCGAGTCGGCTCGTCAGCAGTATCTTGAGCTACAGAAGGACAACTTTGTAATAAAGCGGGAAGAAAGTTACACAACTAATTGCGCAATGAGAGACGGGCATCCGGGTGTGTCTTCAGACGCTCGTATCCCGACTGAATAGGACAGGTTCCGTGCAGGACACTCGACCCCTACAATGTGCCACACACTACGTCAGGAAACGCACTTTACCTATCATCGGCTAAAACAGGTACTCTAAGCTTTGTTTGTAGATATTTAATCGGCATTCGATATGGCACCCCGACACAGAACTCTAATAAAGACTGCACAATGTAGAGTCCCTCACAGTACGCTGTATATGACCAAGGCGACTCTGTTGGAAAGCTAGATTACCAAAGGTGGACAATTCAGCTCGTATCGTTGATACGGGCCAAAGCCTATCCCTTTCTCCTTTGCCGTTGAATGATCTGCTTTTTTATATTCAATAGCAAGCGGGGCACGTAGAAATGCTATTTTACACCGACGATCTTGCCATTGTTGACCAGGGTCGGTTTCGCGCCTAGCAAGTCCTCGTTCTATGTGAGAAACGTGGAACTATCGCTCAAGGTAAACGAGATGGAGGCCATGATGTTCCGCCATAGAAGTCGCTTCACTGCTATTGATATGCTCCGTATAGGCAGAACGGTTTCGAAGTACGTGCCTAACTACAAATACCCGTTTCATTTAAACCTCAACTCTCCTTAAACAAAGTTTAAGGTTGACATTTTGCAAGGCACATCACAAACAGGATACGAAGAGCAATGGTGGCGAGTGTGAGCAAATGTACTTCATCTAGATTTTATTTATGAACGCTGCCGGTTCTGTTCGAAATTAAGGCG